ACGCTTCGTGAAATTTTCGGCCATAGACCGCAGCTTTTTCGGCGTACAATGATCCCCATTGCCGACAGAACGATTGCTTTAAAGATTTCATATTTTTCTAAAGCATAGTACTGGCCGACAGGATTAACGAGGCGCTGTAGTAACCCATCGGTCTATGACCTTTCAGAGATCCTTTTCAGTAATACATCGAATCTTGGTCGATGATCTTGTGTTTCCTGAAAGCGTTCAGGGTGTGTTTTCTTCCTTTTCTAGGACGATCGCATTCATAACCAAGCTCTTTAAATCTTTGAACTGCTCTTGAAATAATATCTCCACAAACACCAAACAAGCGAACAATTTCGCACTGATTTTTTACTTTACGTTATAACTAAATGCAAAAGTAAGAATTATATGACATATAGACAATATAGACAGTTGCATGTCACGTACAGTCCACTAAAAAATACCAAAACTGTGTATTAAAATATTAGAAATTATGCATTAAAAATTCCTTATGATAGAGAAAAACAGATTGAATAATTTTATAAATCTTACTCCTTTGTAATAATCAGTTTTTCTAAAAGTTCATTGCTTCAAATATTGGGCACAGGTTTTTATTACATATCTTAAACTTTTGGTAGCGATTTTATAGCTCATACAACCTTAAACACTTCACTTAAGTTGAAATTTCTAAAATGTTAAAAAACGATCCCCAAAAAACTATGTATTTACAGTATTACATGTAGTGCGTGGAACACTACCAACTTCCTCATAAAGATTGCATTTTATACACATCAAATAAATTAAATATTTAGGTGTTCCCATTTAACTGGTCCATCTTGTATAAAATTCAGCATAGCATTGAATATGATTCATAGTAGTTAATGATATGACTCACTTTAATGAATAATCCAGAGGTGGATTGAAACTTTCATATTCACCGAGTTATTAGATACGCGAGTAATAGTAAAAAGTTGTGCAGCTAATAATAAGGACGCGAGAGCACGTGCTCGCTCTCAAAACACGTGGTTCATAAAACAAGTTCACGGACACGTTCCTTCGTACAGTCAATCACAAAATAACAAACGAAAATCATTACATTTATGAAAGTGTCTTATTATACTTGTGATTCTAATACTATCTATATATTTATATATTAATATATTTATCTAATTCAATACAACTTCGCGGAAAACAAAGATTATTATTAAAATTTGTTATTAATCCTTTTGCAAATACTTTTCGATACCCTAATTGTGTAAACTAGAGCTATTCGTATTTTATGCATTCTTCAATAGTTAATTGTTCTTAAAAGAATTTGAGATTCCTTTACCGCCGAACGCTTATAATAATAATTAGTCTATAGATCTTATAAATTGATAGAAAAACTGCATGGAGAAAATATAACGGTTGCATGCAGCCTTCTAGTAATCTATTTGATTAACCGAGAACTTTTATAAAAGATAAAGGACAAATTACGTTTATAAGAAAAATAAACACCTTGAAACTGTGAGGACAAATGACCCTGATTTACACATAGACTATAGAGGGTTAAAGTGGATAATGACTGCATACGGCTAGCATTCTCTTTCAATCTTACGAATAACTCTTACGATTGACAGCTACAATAAAAATACTATTGAGGACACGAACGAAAGGACAATGCGACCGCGCGTCATTGGTAATAAAAACATTGAAGAGTAGGACAAAACGGGACAACTAAAGATGTTGCGAATATAAATCTAAACTGGTTGGATCGGTGCGGAACGAAGTGGGACGAACACGAGGCACAGGTGTGCGACAAGGACGGTAGAAGCACGTGACACGTGAACCGCACGTTTCATCGAGATCACGCAATTTCATCCCTACGAAAACGAGTGGATTCTCCTTTGTACGAAATAATGAGGAGAAACTCGTTTAATATAAGAGAAAAAGGGGGAAAGAAAAAGTAGTGGAGAGAAGAGTAGAGTGGCACTCGCAAACGAGAAGTCGGAGTTACTTGGCTCGTCGGTGCTTGTCTACCTTGCAAGTCGAACACCGACAACAAAGGTGAAAAGAGAGTAAGAGTGGAATGTAAGAGGGAAAGAGAGCAACAGTCGTCGTTCCCCTTTTTTTCCCTCGTCGTGTGAAACGGTTTACGTGAGTGTATACGTACCTCGTGTGCCTGGGGATGCTGATGGCTGCACCGGCGATGTTCAAATATTCCACACACTAGATCCACACCACACGCAACAATGATGACAACCAGCGACAGCGATACGACGGTGCCGCATTGCATCTTCAACCGCACTCGAGCCGCCATCACGGACGACATTCCCCGTCGCAAAGCATGACACATACTGAGCGCGCCGGCTGACTCCGCGCATTTATGTAAGCGTCGCGACGGCCGCCAGCGCCGCTTCGCCGCCAACGCTCACGTTCGATACCAAGAGCGCGGCAGACGCTCTCTGATGTCGCCGCGATAACTCCCTCGGGAGCAACCTGCAAAGAAATCGAAGGGTTACTATCATAAACGGCCCGTGACATCGTTTATCTCCTCTCATTTATGCAGTCGATCTCTCTTATCCTCAGAACAAAATACAACTACTTTTAAGTACGTTCACGAGGAGAAACGTTTAATTTGTTATTATCTCAATTTTCCGTGTGATTTCATTATTACTATAGACTGCATTCGAAAATTCATTGAAATTACTCACTCTGAACAACTCAACTTGTTGAAAACGAATATTGCAACCCATCTCCGAATAAATTGCATGTTATAATATATTTTATTTTAGTCTTTTGAAACAACATAAAGAAAACTTTTATTAATATTTCTAAAAATGCCTCTTTTATAGAAGTTTTATATAGAGATCCCAATCTAAACGGTTCAACAATGCAGTTTAATATCTCAACTTTTGATACTTGAGCATTAATTCTCGAGCACACGACACTCGAATTTATATTTATTGTAGGTTCGAAAGAATGAAAGGAAATGAGTTTTTCGCAACCATTCTTACAGGTGCATTATGACGATGTTTTATCACGATGTTCTATAATATTAATTCATCAAGCCAATATAGAAAGTTAATTTTTACATGAGAATGTAAATGCTTCTATTCTACATTTCCTCCAATTTCATT